ATGGTCTAGCATATGTTTTAGTTTATATAAAGACAACCATATTTTATTTATTAAAGACAAAGACAAACGGCTCAATACACGCAAAGACACCCCACGATGCGAGCTGTCTCCTCTGTCTCCTTTCTCCTCAGAGAATAAACTGCTGCTCTCCCCCTCATCACCACGAACCTACACACACACCACAAACCACAAACCCTAAACCCTAAACCCTAAACAATAAACCCTAAACAATAAACAATAAACAATAAACAATACACAATAAACAATAAACCCTAAAAGCCCTAAACCTTAAGCCCTAAAATCCTAAACCCTAAACCCTAAACCCTAAAACCCTAAACCCTAAAAACCCTAAACCCTAAACCCTACAACACAGCCGCAAATCTTAAACCCATAACATAATCCCTATCCCACCAAACCCTAAACCCTCGATACACATATATATAAATATAAAATATAAATATAAATATAAATATAAATATAAATATAAATATATATAGTAACTGACGGGGGCTCTCTTTTTCGTTTGTTTTGTTTCTGTTTGTTCTTCTTCTTTTTTGGGTTGTGGTGGGGTTGTCTCTGTCTCTGTTTCTGTTGCTGCTGCTGCTGCTGCTGCTGCTGCTGCTGTTCCTGCTGCTGCTGCTGCTGCTGCTGCTGCTGCTGCTTCTTCGTCGCTTATGTCCATCTCGCTGCCCCCCCGCAGCACTATCTCTCCCTCCTCGCTCGATGCATCCGCTGCACAAACCCTAAACCCTAAACCCTAAACCCTAAACCCTAAACCCTAAACCCTAAACCCTTGTTGTTGGTTGCAGATAAACCCTAAACCCTAAACCCTAAACCCTCAAAATATCCCCGAATTCAGAACAACCAAAGACCACATAACTAAGCTGAACACTCTGGACTCTAGGGTTTACGAATTAGGGTTTAGGGTTTAGGGTTTAGGGTTTAGGGTTTGGGGTGTACATACAGCTGGAATCTGAGGCCTTCGACTGCAACTGCTTTATGCGGGCCCGGCGAGCCCGGATGTCAGACAAAGCCTCCAAGCGCCCTGCACAAACCCTAAACCCTAAACCCTAAACCCTAAACCCTAAACCCTAAACCCTAGAACGTAGAGCATAGACTCTAAACCCTAAACTCTAAACAATAAACCCGGATGTCAGACAAAGCCTCCAAACGCCCTGCACAAACCCTAAACCCTAAACCCTAAACCCTAAACCCTAGAGCGTAGACTCTAAACCCTAAACCCTAAACCCTAGAACGTAGAGCGTAGACTCTAAACCCTAAACCCTAAATCCGGATGTCAGAGAACGCATCTAGACGCCCTGCACAAACCCTAAACCCTAAACCCTAAACCCTAAAAAATACAGATGAAGGGATAGATAGAGAAACAGAAAGGAGACAGATAAAGAGACAGATAAAGAGACAGATAGGGAGACACAAAGGAGACAAAAGGAGACAAAAGGAGACAAAAGGAGACAAAAGGAGACAGTTGAGATACCATCAGTGTGAGTGTGTCTGAGGAGACAGATAAACAAAAGGAGACAGAGAGAGAGACAAAAGGAGACAAACAAAAGGAGACAAACAAAAGGAGACAGAAAGGAGACAGTTGGAGACAGTAAAAATACCATCGGTGTGAGTGTGTCTGAGTAGACAGACAAACAAAAGGAGACAAACAAAAGGAGACAAAAGGAGACAAACAGAAGAAGAGAAAGAAACAAACAAAAGGAGACAAACAAAAGGAGACAAAAGGAGACAAACAAACAAACAAAAGGAGACAGTTGGAGACAGTAAAAATACCATCAGTGTGTGTGTGTCTGAGTAACCAAACAAAAGGAGACAGAGAGACAGACAAAAGGAGACAAACAAAAGGAGACAGAGAGACAAACAAAAGGAGACAGAGAGACAAACAAAAGGAGACAGAGAGACAAACAAAAGGAGACAAACAAACAAACAAAAGGAGACAAACAAACAAACAAAAGGAGACAAACAAACAAACAAAAGGAGACAGATAAAAGGAGACAGAAAGGAGACAAAAGGAGACAGTAAAAATACCATCGGTGTGTGTGTGTCTGAGTAGTTCTTCTCTCTGTCTCCTTCTGGCGACCTCTTCATATCGCCGAGCCAATTCTGCTTCTCGTTGAAACTCATTTAGACTCTCCAGGGCCTGATATATAAATAAATAAATAAATAAATAAATAA